ACAGACAGTCAGGCTTCTACTCACAATACTTCCTCGTACGAAGAATGTTCGTACTGGCTGGCTAGCTGGCTTACCTGCGCGCGAGCTTCGTCCAGCACGTCGGACATGATGACGCGTCCTTCGGCATCCGTGTTGCCGATTCTAGCACGCAGACCGTTCCTAGCGACAAGAATCTCGTCCGGCAGATAGGCATCTTTGTCCAGACCGTTACGAATGCAAGGCATGTAGCCGAACACCTTCAGACCTTTGGGTTTAAGGTGGGAGAGCACCTCAAAGAAGCCGGCGACTGATGCGGCACCCATCTTGTCATTGTGCATGCCATACATGCCGCCGTTGATTTTCAGATCGGCACCGCCAGTGTCGATGGTGACACCCTTGCCAACGATGAGCAAAGTTTGGTCAATGACACCTGGGGGTGTGTAGGTCAGGTAGATGATTCGTCCACTGAGTTCCGAAACATCTGAAGTGAGTAGACGAGATAATGAAGAACATGTAAATGAGCAGGCGGGACAACGAAAATTCGACTGTCGACTACGACAAAGGCTATTGTGTGCTGGGTAGTGTAGGGATAATAGACTTTCACGGGATCTACCTCATTCACTTCTACTCCCCTGTCTGTGTCTGGTGTCAAAAAAGCCAGGAAGGCCGAAAGTGGGAAAAGGATGGCTCAGAGATGGAGCAGATGCCACACAGACGTCTCAAACGACAACTACCACCCTCAGCTCCGCATAGTGAAGACAGCAATCTCTCTCTCTCTCTCTGTCGTCACACATTCTGATCATTTTTTAAAATAATTGACCTAGTCGGGACTTGAATGCTAGTAATGCTAAACAGCACGTCTATCGGGTTCTAAGCTCCTGCGGGACGACGCACATCTCCCGTATAGGTCGAGGTTATCTGAAGACCACATTCAATTTTTGTAGCTTCAGGCTCCGGTAACTCACCTTTCACGGCCCTGTTGACAGCCCATGCCATCGGGTGATCCCTCTCGTTGGGCTCCACAATATTGATGGTGATGCCCGCGGC